CTGTTAACGAGCAGTTGGACAGGTGTACCTAATAAAGTGGCCGGTGAGTGTATTTTCCTCTTCAGCTCTATTAACAAGATTTACCAATTTTCTAATTTAGAGTTGCTTAGTGTCTCGGGGGGCAGGAGTGTCTRCCAGATGGCATTAGCCGAGAAGCAAAATACAAGTTAAACACAGACAACCATTCACTCATAACAACAAATATAATAATCCAATTCGATGCAGCATCAGGGGCAATAAGTTAAAGGCAAATTTATCAGTAGCTTTTCAGAAAAAAATATCATATTTTACCCTACATTCACATTGGAATACATGTATGATTAGCTGCCCAATCATCAAAATATATTCAAGTTGTGTGAGTAAACATTATGCTTGACATAAATAAAAAAAAACTTTCTGAAAAAAAACATTTAAGTTTTATATTTGGAGGTATTGTTAAGAAAAATGATAAATATACAGTGAGGGGGGAAAAACATCCTTTATGCATTCTGACACAACCAAGTGTTGAAACACAAACACTTTGGAGGGAATGTAAATGAAAGAGCGTAGCGTCTTACAAACAGTGGCCTGAATGTGTCCCTTCAAAAGAAGAACCAGGAGGTGTTTTAAACATTGTCCTGTAATCTACATGTCAACAGGAGCATGTTTCCATGCAGTGGGGGGGACAATTTGTGCACGATTTAACGAACCTTTCCCCGCTTAAACCACAACACCGGTGTCGCTGAATTACRTTTAATTTGAGGGACGAGGCTCGAACCTGTCACCGCCTGTGTGTTCAGATTATTCAACAAGTCAGAGATGCAACATGACGGAATCGTCTCAGCTGCTGATTCACCCTGAAAGCCCGAGACGTGAATGTTTTTAAGCAAAGGATCGTCCATAATGTGGAGGGAACACGGAGAACTAACGGCATCAGAGAGACAAAAACGTAAAGAAATGTCCACAGTGTGCGTTTTCAGTGAATGACACGGAGAAATAACGTGAAATCATTGTGATAATCCCCCAGGGTAGTGCCTGCATGAAAGCTGAGTTTAGGTGACACCTGTCAAGACCTGCATGGATTTATTCATTGCAAATTGTAAGATGAAGGCACTTCTCTCTCTTTCTCTCTCAGCCTTCCCAATGCAGCAGCTGAACATTTCTCTGAATAAGTCTGCTTACAAATTATTTCTGCTGCTCTTTCTGAAAAGGTGAGAGAATTACATGTATGATGACTATTATGTAGGGATGTTGACATGTCGTCAGCAGCCGCTGCCATTTTCTTCCCAAACTGCTGTGACCAGATTTTGTAAGGCTGCTCGGTGCGTTTGCTTGTAATTTCCTCCTGCTTCGTTATTTCTACCAATTTCAACAAATCGGGCTGCCGTCAGGCTACAGCCTCGTCTTCCAGTTTTTAATTTTTGTTGATGCGTTTTGAAGTGACGTCCTGATGCATCTCAGTAATCCAGATAAAAAATCAAAAAGAAAAAAATTGTATAGGTCTTCTGGACGGGTTC